AAAATATGGGGTATGTCTACACTACAAACCTAAGTCGACCTATATTAGGTCAACTTACAGCCACCACAGTAATTACTGCTGTTGTGCATGTCCCCACTAACCTCCTTAGGTCGGTGGTGCATGTCCTCACCAGGAGCACTTCCACCAACCTAGAGGGGCAGTGTGGGGAGCTGAGAGCCCAGTCTCTCAGCTCAGTTAGCAGCTCCCTGCCAGAAGCTTGGCTGGCCCACAAGCTCCTGGGTTCTCCGCAGGCTCCCCTTTCCCTGCTCCTTGTTCCCCGCCGGGAGCAGGGGGAAGTCACCCATGTCTTCTTGCTGCCAGGGAGTAGAGTCCATCTGCTCTTCTTATCCCCCTGCTGCCCACTCCGCACTGGAAGCCAGGCAGGCTCCTCGCAGGGAGCGGGCGGGGGGATGCTTGGGCTTCTCACCCTGGCTCCCAGCTGGGAGCAGGGTCCAGCCGCCCAGCTCTCCAGGGGAGCAGGGGCTTTCTTGTCAGTTTCATGGCTCCTGCTGTGAAATTGACAAGACAGTGGATGTAGGGACACAATGTCTACACAGACAGGGCATCACCCTAATTACATGGACCTTATGCCTATGGTGGAGATGGAGTTATTATGTTGGTGTAGTAGGCCACATAGGCTGGGTCTACACTACAGCGGGGGTCCGACCTAAGATATGCAACTTCAGCTACGTGAATACCGTAGCTGAAGTTGCGTATTTTAGGTCGGCTTACCTGGCGGTGAGGACGCGGGAAAGTCGACCGCTGCCGCGCTGCCGCCGACTCCGCTGCCGCCTCTTGCCGAGGTGGATTTCCGGAGTCGATGGCAGAGCGATCAGGGATCGATTTTACTGAGTCTTCACTAGACGCGGTAAGTCGATCCCCGATAGACCGATTGCTACCCGCCGGATCGGCGGGTAGTGAAGACATGCCCTTACACTGAGGAGAGGAAGGCTGTAGTGTAGACACTGACATAAGGAGGTCAACATAAACTGCCTTATGTCAACCTAGCTGTGTAGTGTAGACCAGCCCATAGTCAAGTGTATTTCCACTTGCAGCAAAGCCAACACTAACATTCTGAGTATGATTTATTGGCGTGTTTACTGAAGACATTGGGAATTTTTCTAATCTCAGGTGCTCCTGATTTATATCTGGCTTTATCAGTATAAGTCAGAAATATGGGAGATCAGAATCAGGCTCAATGTTCTCTAGCAAAGAGGTAGCATAAATAGCAAAAGCTATTGCTACAAAAATTACTCTTGCTTTACTGAGCACAAAAATAAGTAGTCAGGGTGCAACTTCCACTGACTTCAATGGGAAACTAACTTCTGAGGGCAAAATCTAGGTCCTAGGGTCATAATGTACATGGATTTCTAAGCAGTGATCCACTAAACTCAACAGAAAGTTTTGTTTAGAAAATGTTGGCATGATATGGCCCAGAGTGTTTAAGTTAAAATTACTTCAAAACAGCTTTAGTTATCTTCTTTTTTTTAAACAATAATTTCCTAATATATTGTATCAGTCAGAAAATGTACCCAATTTACAACTGCCTGTCCCATGGGGAAAATGTTCAACTACATAAATAGCAAAAGAGATGAAAAAAATTCTGTAAAATTAAAAAATAATAATTCAAGATTGAGGGTAACAATTACAATTCTTATAAATATGCGCCATATTTTAAAATTAATTTGTTCTTCAATTATAGTCAGGCAAATGAATGCATTGAAGCATACTATCTTTAGATGATCATGTCACTGAGATTGTCATATCAGCATAGTCTATCAGTCCCTAAATTATCATTAACCCCAAAAGTCTTAAATAAAAACCTATAAAAATAACGAAGAACCTTCAACATTTTATAAACATTTCTAAATAAATACTTGTGTATATACTGGAGCGTAGCAGTAGAACCCCTGATCGTTACTATAATCAGGTTATAATCATGAGAAATTATAGCAGGATTGGAAAATTAGTCTTATTCCTACTCATTCAGGACTACATTAATTTCACATCTTCACATAAAGCCATTGCATAAAAAAACCACACAAGATGGCTGGCTAACATTGTAGAAGTTCTAATACATAGTTTATACTATGAATTTAAATGGCCTTAATCAGCATTGCAGCTCTTATTATTTTTCTTGTTTCTTAAAAAATATTTTTAAAAGAAAGATTCCCAATAGCATTTACTCACAATGAAATGTATTCCTGTCAGTATTTTATATAAATGTATACTTTCAGAATATATCTCCCTGCAAAACAAAAGCAAAACAAAACAAGTAAACTTTGATGATATTTAAGTATTAGAATGAGGGGGTATAACTCATACAAAAAAGGAAGGTAAACTTAAAATAAACCTGCAGAATTAAGGTAAACATTAAAAATTTTCCTTCAAGACATATACATGACTCCTTTCAACAGGTTATTTTCATAAGAATGTTAAACAAAAGTGGTTTTGGCACTTCAGACAATGCAGTAGGTGGATTTTGTGCATGTGTGTTCTGGGGATCTTTCCCTTTACTAGCATGACATGGAAGACTTTAAAACAAGGCTCCAAAAGGCTTTAAAAATAAATGACATTTTTGTCTCTGAAATGATAAAGCAATAATCTCATTTACTAGAAAATGTGGTGTTGCCGCTACCTGTCATAAAATGCAAATATCTTCAAGCAGTTAATGATCTGATTCCTAATCCTACTACAGAATAAAGATAAACAGCTGTCTAATCTAGGTTTATACATTTCAGTGCATTCTTTGCAATCAATACTTTAATGCACATAAAAAGAAACTGTCAAAGCTTATAGAAAAATGTTTTGCCTAATACCTTCTGTTTCATGCAGATGTGTGCTGTACATGTAACAAAGACTTGTAAATATTATTGGAGAATGTTCCACTGTGCTATAGCATAAAATATTAGAAATGGCAGCATATGCCCCCACTATGGGGGCTGATCCTGCATTAGTTCCTCAGGCCAAACTCCCACTGAGATCAATAGGAGTTTAACCTGAAAAAGGGCAGCAGGAACTGACCCTATATGTTAATTCTTAACTTTATTACTTCAGTGGATGCAAGTATTTTATGTTTTAGTTGTTGACAATTGGCCCAACTGAATCATCTAGTGACTGATCATTAAAGGCGTCTTTTATGCAGTAAACCTGTCCAAAAAGCCAGAGTTGCATCCACTATCTTTTGCTACTAGAGACATGTATTATTTTTGGTTGTACCAGATATGCAGTGAATTACATTTCTAGTTGTCATCACCAAGCAGATACCAAGGCTCACTAGTGGGGAAATATATCAAAAGCATCTTTGTTAATTGGTCCAGAAAGTAGAAGACATCATAATGTTCAGGAAATTTGTTTAGTGCTACATGCTTTTATAGCCTGCCTCTCAAGAGGCTTTGGGAAAGAAAGAGAAAAATATAAAAACTTAATTATTTTCATTTTCAAAAAATAGCTTTGACATGAACCAGCATAAAATGATATTTTACACATAGTTCTGTCAATTTTAGAAAATGCATGCAGTGTCTGGGGTGTTTTAGAAAGAGTCTATGCTTAAAGACACCAGTGTGTTGTATAAAATGATCAATTACAATAATTATTTCAATCATATTGGATCTAAGGCTTCAATGATAATGTAAGATATAAGGTCTAGCTACATAAATGTATCCATTAAAAAAAACTGAAGAGTCAGTAGGTGAAAAGCAGTGTTCATTAGAAGTAAGGCAGCAAAATCTCCAAAGACTTTATCATAGTTCTTTGAATTAAAAATGTCAGCTCTATAATTTTACCATGAGCAGACCTTCTCTGGTACTCTAGTCTGTTTTTATTGCAAGCTGTATCTTTCGGAACCTTTGTTTTATAATTTACTGGCGTGTTGAAAAAAAAGTCTGCTTTTATCAATAAAATTTAAATGATGTGGTTATGGAGGGTTCTTGTGCGATTCTGGAATTTTCAGACATTCAAAGAGGGAGACTGAAAAATGTAATGTGAAGGTACTCAATTGTGCGGGAATGTAAATACAGTACATGCTGTACATGTGTGGTTGGGAGAATGGATCAATTTCCATTTGACAAGGCAGAACATTGAGAATGGGAGAAAAAGTATCACATCTCTACTGTTTGATAGTGGATTTTGTGATGATGAACCAAAGAAAGAACAGACATGTATTCTCACACTCTTCATTCCTGCTTGGCTTGGATTTGTTCATACTCCTACTAGTCTCTTCCATGTTGCTGAAGTTCATATCATCATTGCTGACCACAAAAGTATCAGTACTGACTAAACAAAAGAAAAAAAATTGCTGCAATGTATGTATCAGGAGAAAAAATTAAAAAAAATTCAAACAGGAAAGTACTTTGTAACTGCTGCATTAATTTGTGATATTTGGCACTACAGATGGTTTACATTTGGTTAGTCTGAAAAAGCCATTCAGGAAAAGTGAATACACATTAAAATGTTTTTATTCTAACCTTGAGTGTAAATTTAGCTTCCAGCAAACAAATACTGTAGCTGATTTTTGGCTGATAGTGGTTAATTTTCTATTTCTTCATCTGCATTTTTTTTTCAATTGATTGCAACTTGTTCAAGTCAACTTTCCAGTCAGTTCACCCAAATTCCAACAAGAATTGGTTTATAAATTGGTTCCAACTGGAACTGGTCATTTGGAATTTCCAGCACAGGAAATTGTTTTATATGTGCCTTGATAAGTACCCTAAATTACAAACTGATGTGTTGAATATCTAACGAGGAGAAAAGGTACTGCTATAAATGCAAATGATGTACTAAAAAAAAATCCAATATGATTGGGCAAGCTAATTTCCTCCTAAACATCAGGGCATGGTGAATTTCTTCCCCTTCTCCCTTTTTTAAAGCATCAAATGACAGCAGCTTGTAACTACAGTAAAACCGTGTTACACCTGCTAAATTAAGATGATTTGTTTTTCCTAGCTATGTTATGGCAAGTTGTCAACTAATGAATACTATTTTCCCCCAGGTTCTTAAACTCAAAGCCTATGTCGTGAATCATGGCTATATCCTCCAGGCGATCCTCGGTTCCTATGGGGTTTGTAAGTGTCCTGGTAAGTGTCAGAGTACTCTTCTTCCACAAGTGGGTAATGATCTCGGCTGTGTTGGGAACTGGAAGACAAGCGGTTCCTGCTCTTCCGAGCCCTTTCATTGTGATAATTTTCATCAGAGGTCATTAGACTTCTTCGTTCAACTGGAGAGTTCTCAGTAGAGTGGTTGCTATGTCTCATACGCTGACTCTAAAAATGTAAAGAATGTAAGGATTAATACAGATACAATTTTATTTCACCTCTTGTAAGTTAGTTGTGAGCCTCAGTTTGAGGTCCTTCAGAATCTATCCACGTTTGTAATTCCTTTTTAATAGTAAAATTTATTTGCAATGGGAGATGGATGTGAGAATAGTCTGATTCCTGAAACTGATAGGAGACCAAACACAGCATAATACAATGTATTTTTATGATATTTTTATATGCAATCTTATAAAATTTTACAGAGCACTTTCAGTAAGAAGTGACTAGTAGATCGATTCAGAACACACTGCATTTATCAGTTCCTCTCCCCAATCATGATCATAACATTCATATTTCTATTTTGATTCCTTTTAGAAATTTGTGATGAATCAGTGTGTTTTGCAGAAACTTTCTGAAAAGGAGTTTTTGATTTTTCCAAAAGGTGCACCTCATTATGCATTATTTAAAGGTTTTTAAACTATGAGCTAATAGTGTATAACCAAATACTCTACAGGAAGGATAGCTGAAGTAGTTAGATGTTAAGTGACTTTTATAACTAAAACATAATAAATATTTCAAATAACTTGCACAGAAACTCCTTGACCAAACCATTTACCAAGTAGGGATTTGGCCTTTGTTGTCCTTATGTTTCCATAGTGATTGGTTAATATCTAACCATGTGTGGTCACAAGATCAAAATTAGTTCACATTATTGCCTCTAAACTGGTGCAATGAGGCAATAATCCATATTGAGAGAACAACATTCCATCCAATGTCATCAGACACGGTCCATTATTACCACTGTTATTCTCTCATGTCTCCGCACAACCATCTTTAACAGAAATTCAAAAGGTAGATCAAGCATCAACTTAGCTGACTCTTCTTTCTCTCACCATTTTGCACTCAATATCCTTTTTCTGATCCAAAGGCCAATAGTAAAATGCTACTAGTGCCGTATATACTCGATCATAAGCCGGTTCATTTATAAGCCGACCCCCCCCCCCCCCCAGGATGGATAAGTAAAAATGAAAAATTTTTATAACCCGTTCATAAGCCGACCCTGTAATTCAGGGGTCAGCAAACTTTGGCTCCCGGTCCATCAGGATAAGCCACTGGGGGGCCGAGATGGTTTGTTTACCTCGAGCGTCCGCAGGCACGGAGGTAAACCTAAGTAAACAAAGTGTCCCGGCGCACCAGCTGCTTACCCTGACAGGCCGGGACAGCAACTGGTGAGAAAATTTTTTGGTGGGGGAGAAGCTGGGAGTCAGGGGAGTAACCCCTGTGACCACCCCCCACATGACTCCACCCCTAGCCCAGGACCCCCACACCCTCCCCATGCCATCCCTTCCCACCTTATCTGGGGAGGGCCAGGGGAGGATGTCTCTGACCTGGCTGGAGCTGCTCCGGCAGGCTGGGCAGCACGGTCGCAGCCTGCTCTGACGGGCCAGACCGGGCAGAGCGGCCACAGCATGTTCCAGCGGGCTGGGCTGGGCGGCTTGGTCACAGCCTGCTCTGGGGGGTGGGGCTGAGCGGCACGGCTGCAGCCTGCCAGCCCCGGAGCTGCAGCTGCTTTGGAGGCTGGGGGGAGAGCAGCATGGCCAGAAGCGGAGAGACTCTGGCCCCGCCTCTTCCCTTCTGTGTCTGCTGGCTGTGCTGCCTCTCCTTGCTCCCTTTGTTGGGGGGAGGGGCTGTGTCCCACCTCTCCCTCTCTATACCCGTTCATAAGCCGACCCCGTCCTCTGGTGCTTCCTTTTTTACTAAAAAAATTCGGCTTATGAACAAGTAAATACGGTATGTTTGTATTCTTATGATCTGAGATTTGTATCCATACAGATTTTACTGTATGGTCCTCTCAACTCAGAATTTTTCTCTATTCTATGTAATCTTTCTGGTATAGTTCTACTTTTCACCTCTATGACCTAATCTGTTATAATTCTCTAATTCATAGCCAAGTATTATGTTATCCCAAAGATTTTTGTCATTCCATGTTGTTTCAAAATATCTATTATGGCAAGGTCCTCCTCCATTGTCAAGCTCATAGTTTTTATTTTTGGTTAATATGTCTTCTTATTTAACTCCTTGGTCTAATATCTACAACATCTCTGCAATTGATCTCTGTGAATGCAACTTGTCCCTCCCCCAGTTAATTTGTAATATATGCTCTTTCCTTTACTGCAGTGTTTCCCAAACTTGAGACGCCGCTTGTGTAGGGAAAGCCCCTGGCGGGCCGGGCTGGTTTGTTTACCTGTCCCGTCCGTAGGAGCCGCGATCGGCGGAACCTGCAGACGGGGCAGGTAAACTAACCGCCCGGCCTGCCAGGGGCTTTCCCTACACAAGTGGCGTCCCAAGTTTGGGAAACACTGCTTTACTGGATACAGAGATATCTATGTATTACTGGCTTGATTTTGTAGTTATTCTGATCTCAATCTCTTCACCTCTTCTGGGTGTGGAACATATTTAATGTGAGTTAATATTTGTAGGTGTTGTACAAAAGATACAGTCTTACATTATGAGATAAGAGGTTGTCATAACCCATATCTGGCCTCACTTGAACTGCTGGGTTCAAAACTGGGTCCTGCAGAGATAAAAACATTGAGCTTCCACCACTCAAGCCAAAGGGCTTCAGTCTATTAGCTGGAACTTGCAGACTTCAGCCTTGTATGTGGATCAGCCACTAGAGGGTGACAAATCTCAACGTGTGTTGCAACTGCATACGATTAATATGCTCAATTTGAATTTTACATATTTCTAAGTTGCATTGCATCTTGAATCTTGAGCTTCAGACTGGCACAGTTTATATATACCGGTATATAAAATATAAACAAGTACATTATTAAACTTGTGTGTGCGCACTCTTCACTTTTGTTTCTCCTGGACTTGAGTGCATAAATGTACACCTGTACTGCATTAACATAGGATTCTGGCTTTTTCTGCATTCGATTTCCTAGTAATTTAAAGGTAGTATAGCTGATAAAGAAAAGGAAAAAAAGTCATAAGGGCTTAAAGAACTGTAGTAAATACTTAATGTAGCACAAGCACCTATGCTGGTTTAATTCCTAAAGTCTGTATAAGTACTTCAATCACCTTATGGTGTCAAACACTTAAACTGATGTAATTATTCAGATGGCAAATGTCTTGAAAGTGGTGTAAGACATAAGCACTTAAGATATGTATGTCCTTAATGTGATACAACTATGTCAACCCAACTTTCTAAATGGTCTGAAACACTTAAGTGGCATTGTGAACCAAATCCGGCAATCTTTACTCAGCCATAATAAACTCAGTGGGTATTAAGGGACAATGCATAGACCTTCTGCTGGCCCCCTGCATAGGGGTAATTTTCATCTTCAGTGTAAGTTTTCCCTATGTAAGTGGAGCCACATGTCACAGTCACTATCAGTGCCTACTGACTAGGGGTAAACAAATAGTGGAAAAAAATGCGGTGGATAGCCATAATTCTTCAAATGGATTTGCTTTGGCTATGCCCACAGTCCTTTTGGGTTTGCTTAGGTGAACATTCAAGAGATGTCATTTTACTGATATGAATGGATGGCAAACTGAAATGTTACAGTTAAGTGAACATGGAAACAATATTTTACAATTGTTCATGTGATTACTAATGCCAGAAGTGCTAGTGCACTCATCCAATCAGGGAAAATAATACCACACAATTTATTGGGCCTAACAGAATCAAGCTACCTGGTGAAAAATATGATTACCAAAAACTATCTATCTGTAGTCAACTGTGCAATTAATTCACAGAGTAATTTTTATATATTTATTGAATAAATTTAAATAATCAATCAATTTGAATGTTGAATCACTTTATTCAGAAATTAGGATCTGCCTCCAAATATTCCATGAGCAGAACAGAGGTTAAATTTTTCAGGTGAATTATGCATTACAAATTATTTGCTCAGCTCTATTGCTGACACATATTAGCAAGTGCACATTCCTCAAAAGTCACACACACATGCAGAACTTTTTCTGAAACTTTCAGAAATAATGAAAAAAATGTTCACTGAATTCCCTCCCGGTCTTGCATCTTCAAACATTCATAACTGTTATTTCAAAAACATTTTTTTCAAACTTAGTAAAGCACGTACTTCTCATTAAGGACTATTTACATGCCACGTTTGAAGTTTCAAAGTTCGCCGTTTTTGAGCTATCCCTGTGAAAAAAAATGGTCAGAATTTTTTTTTCAATGGGAAAAAATGTATTTTATTCACACTCAATGAACTCAAACAGATGAAAGGGATTTTGCTGAAGCTTTACCTTGGGCCAAGCATGGAAAATTTTGGCCCAAAAGATGAATGTGATGAAAAGTTATGAGCATGTGAAAATGGAGTTATAACAGAATAAGATCTGCAGCCTTAACTATAGTATTTCTTACCAGCATAACTGCTATCATATTTTACATGCTTATTTTCAGTCTGAAAGACTCTTAATTCTAATGGCACTTTCTCACATAAAAAGATGCAATTTTGTTATATAGCTAAAATAGCTTTTGACAGAGTGCCATTTATCTCAGTTTATTCCTCATGCCAAAAGGAGTTATGGGTATTATATTCCCCATTAAAACAAAACTAGTCCGAACACCAGTGCACTCCATTAATAAAATGTTTCTCTGTTGAATAAGTGGGTCTATTTTGCTTTCTTGCTGTTGGCACTTACCAAACAGCAAATACTAATTAACGAAACAAATACTGGATACAGTTTATAAAACATATTATTCTGTTTTCCTATAATTAATAAAACTGACCTGTACTGGTGACTGGGGGCCAAGATGCATATTCATACCTGTAATCCGGAGATTGCAGTAGGGTATGGTGAAAGTGCAGTCGATCCTAGGTTTCTTCCAAGAAGAGGAGTCATAGGTGTGCTATTGGTGGTATGTGTAGCACGCCAGTATGCCTCTAGGTATTCTGCCAAATGTTCACACGCATCCTCAAGCTGATTTTCATCCAAAATGACATCAAACATTTCCTGTTCACAGCAAGAAAATGCTAGTTCAGTATTTTTTTTATGGGCAGCAAAAGAGGGACACCCAAATAACCATAGGTTCATAGAAACGTTGGACTGCAACAGACCTCAATACGCCATCTAGTCTAGTCCCCTGCACTCAAGGCAGGACTACATAATAACTAGACCATCCCTGGCAGGTGATTGTCCAACCTGTTCTTAAAAATCTCCAATAACGGAGATTCCACAACCTCCCCAGGTAATTTGCTCCAGTGCTTAACTACCCGTACAGTTAGGAAGTTTTTTTATGTCTAGCCTAAATTTAAGTCCAATACTTCTTGTCCAGTCCTCAATAGTTAAGGAGAACAATTTACCACCCTCCTCTTTATAACAACATTTTATGTACTTGATGACTGTTATTTCCCCCCTTCCCAGTCTTCTCTTCTCCAGACCAAACAAACTCAGCTTTTTCAATCTTTTCTCATAGGTCATGTTTTCTAGACCTTTAATCATTTTTGTTGCTCTCCTCTGGACTTTCTCCAATTTGTCCACATCTTTCGCAAAGGTTACTGCCCAGAATTGGACACAATACTCCAACAGAGGCCTCATCAGTGCTGAGCAGAGTAGAATAATTACTTCTCATTTCTAGCTTACAATGCCCCTGCTAATACATCCCAGAATGTTAACTTTTTTTGCAACAGTATTCCATTGTTGGCTCATATTTAGTTTGTGATCCACTATAACCCTCAGATCCTTTTCTGCAGTATTTCTTCCTAGGCAGTCATTTCCCATTCTGTATTTGTGCAATTGATTATTCTTTCGTAAGCATTGGCCTTATTGACTTTCATTTCATCGTATTTATTTCAGCCCATTTCTCCAGTTTGTCCAGATCATTTTGAATTCTAATTGTAGTTCTGAACTCTGGGGCTGACTCAGATCTCTCTGATAAACAAAATCCTGATTCTGAACTCAGATCCGGAATTGAACTGTGCTGCTGAAGAACATCTCTATTCTAGTTCATACAATTTACAGTTATATTAGCAACGGCATTTCTACTTAGCATAACTGCTAAAGTTCAGGACATACAGCTGTTCAAACATTCACAGCTGGGAATTCTGTCTACAGCACCTACATATGATGTGTATGCATTGTCTTAACTGCCTTCATTTATAACTATCTGTCGAAATGGCCCTGTGCCTGTTCTTAAATTGGTGAGGTCTTAGGATTTCTTTTTTTTCCACCAGGAACTCATTCATTGGTGACAGTACTTAAGCACCAGAACAAATACCTCAATACACTACCTCAGATCTGCTGACACTTATATGCCACACAAAGTATATCTATTGTTGAACACCAAAGGAATGTAGGACACACAGCTCCTGTGACTTTCTGGCTGCCAACAGGGCAGTTTATATGCAGCTAGTGTTTTCATATTCTATCAGCAATGGAAGTGGTTTAGAGCTGTACTAGATGAGTGGATTTTTATGAATTGCAAGACAGGCATAATAAAATAAATGCCCGTTTTCTATAGAAAACATATTTTCATGAATATTCACAAATTTAGTCCATTGAGAAAATTCAGCATTTTCAGCAGTGAAGTTTTGCACCTGTGTCTTTCCCCTTCACTTTCAATTCAGTGGGAAAATATACCATGGAACTATAGCAGGAATAAAATAAGGACTGCATGGTGCAGGTGTTGTAGTGATTGGTACAGTAAAAACACACACAAAAAAACCACATAATACCCTGCTCCCCCATCCCTTATATACACATATATATCTAAATAGACATGTAACTCCACAATATATGTGAAGCGGACATCCATATGGTAAATTGTTTCATCTGATGTCTGCCCACTAATCCAGTCCCCACAACTTCCTCTAACTCTTTAACTGCCACTTTAATTTTTTTTAACCAACTGACTTAATAAATGTTTCCTCGTCCTCCCCGCAAAAGTGGAATTAAATCCTCACCTCCTCCAACTCACATACTCCAAACACGAAGACTGCTTGAAACCTAGGATGGGCAAGATTCAGTGCTAATCTAGTGATAGCTTCTCTGTACATAAAAACAATATGATGTTACAGCTAGTTATTCTGCAGCCCTGCAAGACTATATGTGAGCTATAGCTCACTGGCAAGTGTAGATTCCCAGTTTCCAAATGGGAATCACCTTTGCTTCTAGCTCTAGGGGACCTGAGATAATGGAATTTAGTTATGACATATTTAACTGCAGAAAAACTATTTTATGGCTGCCCGAGTCATGTACAAATGGACTTATGATAATGAAGGATTAGTGGGTGAAGGACTATGAAAAATGGTCCCAGTAAAAAGCTTTAAAATTCTCTAAACCATTTCTAAAATAGCTTTTTGTACCATCTTTTCGTTATACAGAAATCATGCTGGTTTAGTGCAGTCTGAGTGTTCTACTGACACTTGTCTGAGTTTACCTGCAACTCACACGTGGCTTTGCCACTCATGAGTAATTCATCCTTTCAAACAAATGCTGATAAAATCATGTATTCCATTACATTACACACACGCGCACACCCACAAAACCACTAAAACAACATTATAAATGTTCCAAAGTCAAGCACTTAAAAGTTAGGAAATGCCAGAATTAAGATTATCTGTACATGCAAGCCAAAAGCACACAGTACTTTTGAAAATAATATGAACATGCAATGTGGTATTTGGACTGTATTGTCTGTGTTTACTACAGGGTCAATTCTGAGACAGGCTGATTTGAGGAGGTTAAGTAATTTCCATGAAAAGGAAGTTACTCACCTTGTGCAGTAACGATGGTTCTTTCAGATGTATGTCCCTATGGGTGCTCCACTGTAGCTGTATCTGCGCCTCTGATCGGAGATTTTGGGTAGCAATGTCCATTCAGCCTGCACATGTGCTCTTCCTCCGTCCTGGTCTGCCTTGAGTCTAACACTGTGCGGGCAAACTCCCCTCAGTTCCTTCTCTATCCCAGAGCCCCTTATGGAGAACTCCAAAGTAGAGGGGAGAAGGACGGGTTGTGGAGCACCCATAGGGACACACATCTTGAAGAACCATCATGACTGCCCAAGGTGAGTAACTTCCTCTTCTTCTTCGAGTAGTGTCCTTATGGGTGTTCCACTGTAGGGGACTCCTGAGCAGTATCCCCCATGGAGGGCTGGGGCTTTGGAATGGGAGTCTGTTACTACAGAGAACACTGTGGAGCTGAAGATGGCATCAGAGGCCAAATCTCCAGTGATCGCATAATGTTCTGCGAAAGTGTTGGAAGGGGGCCAAGTCACTGCTCTGCAGATTTCTGAGATGGGGCATCTTTAAGGAATGTGACTGAGATAGAAATTGACCTCATGGAGTGCATATGGATTTTGGATGGAGGCAACAGGTTGCACCTTTGATAATAGAGATTAATGCAACCCAAGACCCATTTGGATAATCTTTAAGCCGATATCACGGAGCCTTTGGATCTTTCCGTGAATGAAAGGAAGAATTTAGGGGACTTCCTGAAATCCTTAGTCCTGTCCAAGTAGAATATTAGTGCTCTTCTAACATCTAGCATATGCAGAATTGCTTCCCTGTTGTCGCGATGTGGTTTTGGGGAAAAAACAGGACAATGGATCTATTGGTTCATATGGAAAGTAGAGGCAACTTTAGGGAGAAACTTGGGGTGCAGCCTCAGAGTTACTTTGTCTTTTTAAAAGACCGTGTATGGTGGGTGTGCCATTAGGGCCACTAATTCTCCTATGTGCCTAGCTGAAGTGATGGTAATTAGAAATGCTGTCTTCATGGACAGGTGTAAGAGATAGCAAGTTGCCATGGGCTCAAAGGGAGATCTAATCAAAGCTCTGAGAACTAGGTTAAGATCCCAGATTGGAGTGGGTGGTCTCACATGCAGGAAGAGATTCCCAATGCCCTTAAGGAATCTATACATCAGCAGGTGTAGATTATCTAGATCAGTAGAATATCCATCTGCTTGATAGTGGAAAGCTATTATGGCCGCAAGAGGTACCTTAAGGGAGCTGAGTGAGACTTTTGACCTTTGAGGTCTAAAACGTAGTTTAAAATTAGAGGGAGGGAAAGGTCTGTGTGTTTAGAATGACACCAAACTTGGGATCATTTCAATTTTTGTAGGTCAGTACATTGAGTGGTTGACTTTTGGCTGTGCAGCAACACGTCTTTCACCTCGTCAGAGCATTCTGCCTCTAAGTCTTGGAACCAAGAAGAAGCCAACCCTGGAGGTGGAGGACCTGAATGTTAGGGTGAAGGATCAGCCTGTCGCTTTGAGAGAGCAGGTGGGGAATGGGCCAAAGAGGAACTGGAGGCCATATTGCCATCTATGTCAGGTAAGGGAACCAGACTTATCTTGGCCAGGAGAGGACACTCAGAATAACTCTCATTTTGTCTCGTCAAATTTTCAACAGGACCTTGGATAGAAAAGGAAACAGGGGAAAGGCATACAAGAGGTTCTTGTCCCATGCAAGGATGAGGGTGTCTCCCAGTGAATGTTTCCCCAGGCTGGCCCTGGAGCAGTAACAATGATATTTCTTGTTCCAGTAAGTAGCAAAGAGCTCTGCAGTCGGGGTTCCCCAAAGGGTGAATATGTCTCAAAGCACCTCTGAGTTCAGTTCCCATTTGTGGTGGTGAGAAAAGTTCTGAGACAGTCGGCTGTCACATTCTGTATCCCTGGTAGATGGACAGCTGAGATGAGTTTGAGTGCTTCCGTGCAGAAGGAGGGAGATATGGCACCTCCCTGGCAATTTATGTAAAACATACACTTCATATTGTCTGTCATGACCTTTGAGTGGGTATTCTTGATGAAACGCAAAAAGCAGGCACAAACATTCCTGATGGCCCTTAGCTCCAAAAGATTGATATGGAGGGTCACTTCTATGGAAGACCACTTGCTTTGAACCTTGCAATCATGTAGGTGAGTTCCGCAGCCCATTAGGGAGGCATCCATCGTTAGAGTCGGTGTCAGTGGCGGTTGCACGAATGGAACACTTGCTCAAACACTGGATGGGTCTT